TACGGTTTAATAATATAATTGTAAAATAAAAAGTCAATTTTTGACTATTCTAGTTGTACTTTTTAGTATTTCAACTGCGACGCATTATTGTCGATGCTGGTTTGAAACTTGGATCAAGTTTTGTTCGCCCCGGTTGGGTCTTCACTCTTTTATATTGTCAAATCACTATCATGGGCATCATTATATTTAATTTTCTACACAATGTTTTCTTTAGTGCCAAGGAAAATTATTGATCTTACTTATCAAAACTGTCACGATGATCTCTTAAAATATTTGTAATTTGTATTTCTACTCGGACGATAAAAGGTGTCTTTTTTTTTCGCGCCAAAATATTACTAGACGGTAAAGTGTTTGTTGTCTTTGCTGTGACAATGGCCATTGGCGGCAGCGTTGTGTGACGCGTTTACCCGGCGGGCGTCGCTGAAATTAATTTTCCTCGAGGGTTCGAAATCACAATAACAATAATAATATAGTAACAATTGCAATAATAATTGTAATGATCTCTGCCGATACCGAAAAAAATAAAACGTCTGGGCGGTAGGAAATTAATGGAAACGCGTGTATTTCTTATATTGGAGAGATCGCAGCGGGACCCCACGGACTTAACACAATGGACCCGCCTCGGTTCGATTACTTGGCACGATTTTTTCCGTGCAAGAACCGACCCTTCTCTCGAGCCGTCCCCCCACCCCCCCGGGGGATCCATCCGAATGGCGTTATCGCAGAGCCCGAAGCGTAGGATATACCAGTTAGAATAATAATAACAATTGATCCCGTTTTGGTACGAAATTATATAGACCTTTTTTTTCTTCTTGGTTTTAGTGGATCAAATGTGAGTGTGTAATTATTATTATTGATTAAGTGCTAGCAAAACGTCGATCGGGGTGGTTTTTTTTTTATTGTATCCATCGATTATGAAATATTAACAAATTGTACACCGATACCGTGAGCCGTTTAGCCTGGAGGGGCGGGCAAACGTTTTGTGCTATGAGTATTTGATTTTTGGCGCCATTCGACGGGGGACTTGCATTCGACGGTCGCAAACCCGCAAGAGGCCGGTTACTCGTTAAACCGATTTACGGGTACGAACTACGAACCCGGCACCACATGTGTAACGCGGTGGTGACCGAATCCCCATGTAATAATAATAATAATAATATAGAAGCAACATGTGGCGTTTTATAGGAATTGGAGTTTGTACGCAGGACTGTGGGCGTGGTCCAGAAGGGGAAAAAGGGCAGTAGAAAAATTTGTCGCTAATTACATAGGCAGGTTTTTCGGGGTTTGTTGTATATATATTCGAACAAGTGGTTGAGGAGGACAAAAAAAAACACACACACTTCTGACGACTCACAAGTATTAACCGGCAGATTCTTGGGCGTCTGCGGCTAATCAGTCCAAATTACCACCGCAGACTGCCACTAATGAACTCAACAAAAGGTCTATTTAATGGCGCATCTCGCTCTCTTGTGTTCTCTTCGGGTCGTTTTTATTTTTTTTTTTTTGTTTTAATGGCTTTCGATTGTGATGATTTTTTTTTTTTAACCATTACTATCATAATATTTCTACTACCTACACTCTAGGCTGTACGTTATAACAATCGCAGACGGTGACTTCACGGACAATAACGTGTACACGCGGTGTGATTACTCCGAATAGCTTGTCTTGGCTTTTAAATGTCATCTCGTGTGTTTTACCAAGCCGTTCGTGTAACCCTATATTATTTTGGCACCCGTTTATTGAACATGGTCTTTTTCTCTTAACCTCCCTACATGTTTTGGTAACGTGGTCAGTCGGCGGCGGCGGCCAACTCGTCTGGAAAAATCAATCCAGTGGACTTTGCGTGGATCGTACGGAAAAACGATACTCCGGTGGAAGGTAGGTAAAAAATAATAACAGTATCCACAAGAGTAATCGGTCGGAAAACCCATTAGGTAATCTGACACGCCGCCGTCCCCCATGCACTGAAACAACCTAACCTAACCTAACCCAACGGTTCAAATGCGTGATGAACGTGTGTGGATCATTATGTGTTACTGTTGGTGAATACATTTTCGGTAGACCCGTCGACCGGTTTCCAAACGTCATACCCTTCAACGGTCAATCCTCGAACACCCTCTTGTCTGCATCTGAGCACGTATACATACGTTTGGATAACCAGCGTGGGCGGTTGGGAGTAGACGTTTGCGTGTGACAAGGATAAAAAGAGAAAGGCAAAGTGGCATTTTTGCCCTACCACCGTGTTATTGTGAAGGTTTGAAACAAAAAAAATTACCAACGATTTCCAACTGTATGCATACGTTCACAGATGCAATGTTATGCGTAGTGTCCTCAATCACCGCAGTGCAATTGCTGATTATATAAGTGCAATGCCGAGCAGCCACAGTTGAACAGTCATTTGTCAGGTTCCCGTGTCACTCGAGAGGAGATTTGTAACGATTAAACGTACTTCGATGCACCGAGTGTGGCGAGCCGACAAGATGTTTACCAGTGTTGCGTTAATGACTTTGTCGCGGGTAGAGGAACGGCAAAGGAAGGAAGATACGTGAGAACCGCGGTGTAAATATCTCTATAATTCGCCGCATTGTAAACGTCAAATAATTTCGTTCTTCGTTCCCAGGGGATAATGTCGCAGACCGCATTGTCTATGGCAAAGAGATCAATGCCACTGTCATCATCATCGCCATCGCCGTCGTCGGCATGTGGAATCATAATATTCGACCATCGAATACCCATTAAGACCTGTGTGTCTCCGCAATAAAGTGTTTTGTTAATAACCGTACGAGGGATGGCCACAATAAAATGTGCATTCAACGACCAGCGCACAATAAACAGTTCATAATATATTATTATTATAATACTCGAATAATCACAACACGCGTTATTATTATCACTGCGGGCAAAATATTGTACCTATATATTATGTATTAGGATGACGATGATGATGATGAATAGTGTAAACTTGAGATAGGTGTTTTCATATCGTCGTTTAATGGTTTGTACGGTTAATATAATTAAAAAAAAAAATAGATTTCTGGTCGCCGGTATTGTGCGGGACTCCTATTGTGAATCTAACCCTCAAACCCATAACGTAACTCGACTCGTCGTCAAAGGGACATACGTCTACCAGCTGACACTCGAGCTCCTGTCGAATACGGTCCTATGTTTTTATTTTTTTTTTTTGATATGAGTTTACCGCACACCAAACGTAGAAGTCACAGGACAACAGTATAAGAAGGAAAAAAACCTACTCCTTGTCCTTTGGATGAATACGAAGTGCCGAGTGACAAATATTAATCATCGTGACGCGATGGGTCGTTTATCATAATATTTCGATTGTGTTATTACCTTATTGTTGTTGCGGTGAAGCTGACAGTGTCGTGTACTGACATCATCAATCCGCCGTCGAGCATGGTTCGGGTCCAGGGATAATCGGAACTCGGGCAGAGCCTCGGCTGGGTCTTCTACTCCGGTGGTCCGAGGAGTCTATCGTTTTTTAATTATTTTTTTTTTCTATCATTATTATCACTATTATCGTTTTAGACAGGTACTGTGCGTCGGCGGTCCGCGAATATAGATATATAATTACAGGACATATTTTATAATATAGTTGCCTATTTAATAAACCACTTCGATCGGGGTCTACCGTCGAAACAATAATAACATTCTACACTATAAGCGTCGTTTCCAGTGGATTTTTCAATATCCGAGGCGTTAGATTGTTAAGACCGTTAGGTCTTGTTGTTTTCGGTCGATCGTAAATCATCGAATTAATCCGACACGCTCGGATATGACCTGACCGTTTGTTTCTCTTCTACACTGCAATTAGGCAGGCAGGGCTTTTACGACTGTTGCTGTCGTTCGGTCACTGGTTTAGATTGTTTTATTCCCGTTACCACTTTGTCGAAAAACGGTGTTTTTTATTACACTGCCACAACAAAAACCTGTCAAGTAGCTTAAAAGTGGTTGAAAAAGCAGTCAGGTCCATAAGAGTGTACAGAAATGTTTTCAAATGATATGGAGAAAAATATGTTTGTTATAATGTTTGTTTGGCGTCTTGAAAATAAAATTATTCATGTAAAATAGTATAAATTTTTTTGTTTTAAGTGTTTTTATCGATGAAACAAATAACGTTTTTGAAAAATATTTTCTCGTTATCATTTGAAAACACTTAAGACAAAATATGACCACTTTCCTTATTATTGCTGTACCGGACATGTTATGAGATTACTATGAAATAACTTATAGGCTAATAATCCGTACTCCTCGTATGAGAACGCCTTATAGTATTGTTTTTAATAGCTTAAATATGATGATTTTTATTTTTTACTGGGCACGAGTCCAACTATGAAAGTGCCACCCGGGTGTTTGAATGACCGGATAATTATGTATTCCATAAAAGAAAAACAAGTTTTATTTATTTTTCGTTAGGGTTATCGTCGAATACCTACATTGTAGGATTCTTATGATATACATATACCTACTAACTAATAAGTAATAACAAATAATATACCGTGACGAATCACGGAAATACACACATCTCGTTTAAATATAATTGGAAACGAAATTTTTACCGCTACATGCATAAAAATAATAATAATACTGTGGATCTGAGCTTAAACCCAACGTTAGAAATTTGGTTATCCACCGGATGTATACTTGCTTTTATAATTCGACCAACCAAATCCTCTTTTCATCCCTTTTTCTTTGTTCACTCCATGCACCTCCATTGATGGCAGCCCCAATCCAGTTCATTTGTTTGGGTATGCATCATTTATAAACCAAATAGAAATTACTTTTTTTGGTACATTTATTGGGTTTGGGTTTTTTTTTTCGCCAACTCTTAAAATCTAACACTTAAATTTCTCTACTCTATTTATTAAACCTTGACAATTATTAAGTCTAATAACTTAAATTTCAAGTTTTTTTTTTTTGAGACCTGTTTTAAATAATGATAATAAAATCAAATAATAATGTTTTTTTTATTTTTTTTGTTACAGTGGCCTTTCCGATTCTTCCGAGTACTCGGTGCGGCCCGTCCGGCTGGACCGATGTTGGGCCGGTAAAGTGCGTTGGGCGTACCCGAGGGGTGCGTTGCGCGTTGTCTTCCGGTTGACGGGCACTGGCGGCGGCCGCGAGTTCCGGGTGTGCCTGAAACCGGACAGGCTGGACGGGGTGCGAGTGTTGTTGGACAGCGCGCCGCGACGCTTGATCACCGTCTACGACCACCGAACAACGTCCTCGCAGCCGCCACCATCCCGGTGCTTCAAGAGCGTCGGTGGCACGGCCGCGTTCTACGTGGAGGCCGACAAGTCCAGGGAACAGCCCGTTGGCGGTGCCGTCCGGTTCCGGTATGATCTCGAGCCGCTGGGTTCACCCGTGCCGGAGCTGTTCTCTGCCAACGATCTCGACGACGGTAAGTGTCATACATACACATATACATACCGTTGATTACCATTTGCTCAGTTTACATCCTGCAAGCATATTTTGGCTAGTGTCCACCGCTTAAACCAGTTTTTCAAAAAAAGTTGTTCATACAAACGGGTTGAAGGTTTGGACGAACAAGTCACATAAATCATACATGTACCCACCACGTTTTATGTATGCAAGTTATATCATAAGTTTTGTTGGTTCTTCGTTTAGCACTTCACAATAATCATAAAATCGCAATGGTCGAACAAATAAAAAAAATAAAAAAGAGTAATTTCTGTGTACTTATTTGTCAACTTGGTTAGTGTATTTGATTAGATTGGTAAACAATGTATTTATATAAAAAAAATAGACAAGACCAAATTACCGTTAATGACCGTTTGGCAAACGATTTGCTTCTTTTTTATATTAATACCTTTTTTTTTTTTTTTCTTGCATCGTAATTGAGCATGAACTTGTCGCGTTATCATGGCAATTAGGTTGACACGGAAAATCAAACGATTTGAAACAAACAATTACTTACTAGTTACCAATCGATTTTTCACACTGTTTGATTCTTTATCTCCGTCTGTTTCTATTGGTGGTAGTCGGTACTGTTTCGGACTATTTAAATACCTAGTCACTTTGGCCTCAAACCACCTTAAACAGTCTGGGACAAGCTCTGAACCTACACCGATCGTCTTCGAGTGAATGCTAATATTGGAGACAATAAATTTGATAAATTCCCATGAAAAAACAATAGTAGTACAAGTCAGTTTCGACAATCTGGTCTTCTCGTTTAGAGTAGTAGGTCCAATTTCTTTATGTATAATTAGATATTGTGTAGGCAAATGAGGATTTGTTTTTACTCTGTCCACAGTTAATAAAAAACGAGTAAATTTTTTTTCTTTTTCTTTTCCGAGATCTCGGATCCTATATTTTAAGTATTTGGTAATTTTGAAGATTACAATGGTCATTGCGTGAGGATTGTCACCGGCTACAAACCGGTTCTGACCGTTGATGTAGTGCCCGTGTATAACATCAAATGTCCTACTGGCATATGCATAACATAAAAAACGGTAATTTATTCTAAAAATTATACTAACCGAGCGGTTTTTATGAGTGTGTCGGCTAATAATTTTTTTTTATGGCATTTGTAATTTAATTTCACTAAAAAAATATACTAAAAATAACTTCATTGCCATGGCGGTTTGACAAATTAATTTATCCCTCGTCTGTTGGACTGTGATTTTGTAGACAACCGACGATTTTCGTTTTAAGTTTCTTTCCGTTATGACAATATAAATGAGGGGCGGATCAATGGCTATGCCCCGTGAAATTGTAAAACAATCAATTCTAGAGTAACTATTAATAATCGTTAACATCACCCGATATTTTTGCAACATGTTTTTGCTAAAAAAAAATTGTTTTCTCTATCCGAACCGAATCGAGTACATCAATTACACGATCAGACCGTTGACTTGCTCGTACCTAGTCCTTAATAAAATAAATTAAAGCGCGCACGCTTTTCAGAATAAATAACACTATAATACACAGGCAGGTGCCCCATGGCTGGTATAGCTGATGTGTATTGTTCTTGACACACGATAATAATGACTGACCCTAATTTTCTTTGTAACTCGACAGCCGAACAATGTGAGCCGTACATGTTTATATGCTTCGGGTTTATTATAATACATCCGAGTCGACCTTTATAGCAGCAACATCTATAGATTTCGTATATAGCAACACACAATGGGAGCATGAAAAAACAAATTCGTTTTCTTCAAACAGCCGATATTTTTCTTTTGATAAATTAATTGGAAACAAGAGGAAAATACCTCCTTAGGTAGCTTCGTTAAAGCTAAAATTTTAAAAAAGAACCGAAGCTGTACCTAATCCATCCGCGCAGTTAATCTAGATCCTATAAATGAATTGTCAGTTCTAGCGTGTTGCCAACACAATTTATTTTAAGCTCTGTATAATAGAAAAATTGTTAGGTTACAAAAGATCGACCAATTCGTGATGCGCGTGTAACTGATAACACTGATACAAATTTCGACGTTTTTGAACCTCTAAATTGTGGTTTAACTAAGATCCAAATAAACTTGACTGGTTAAAACCGAGATCATTTCTTTCGTTTTGGTCTTCGATACATTTATTTCAGATCTAGCGTTGGGACTTCAGTCCGATAATCCCATTAGCGATTTAATGTTTTTATTATTTAAGAGAATTATGAGACCTACTAAACAAAGCCACTGTAATTAATGTTAAAAATATTTTTGCCAAATATTATCATAAATATAACGCAACCATATTATGTAATAGTTGGTAAACAAAACATCTTTTCACCTTCGCATCAATAGTAAAAGAAAGAAGGCCGTACACTTGTACCGAACCTTACTGCGGCCAAGACCGGTTTTCACCTACATTAAAAAAATTAAATACACATCAGTACGCTTTTTTTTCATATTTCAGTCGCTTTTTATTACACGGCTAATTTTATTATTCATTTATTATTATCACTACCGCTGTAAACAATGGAAGGTGGGCAATACCACCGCAATAGGTTGATTTTTTTTACGATTTTAACCTCAGCATGGCACCGGTAGGGCATTAAAAAAAAACCGTTCTCTGCACCCTTTGACCCGTTAACGCGTTAACCGAGATTACCGCCTACCGTAGATTTCCTGACATACCTACTGAAGAAAGATAAAATAAAAATATTACAGATGACATTCGAACGACTCCTGCCGGGTCATCGTCCATCGCATTAATGTGTAATAATAGAAAATTATACACACAGCACGCGGACATGGCATCGTACTGTGTTATCCATATTAAGTGTACTGCCTGTCAAGGGAACAAAAATATTTTAACGTTGTCTAATAAGATTTTAATTATATATTGTTTTCTTTTGCTTTTTACAGAGTGCCGCCCATGCACCGTGGAAGAAATGACACAAGCCTACTGCACCAGTAGTTTAGGTGAGTTCCTTCGCAAATACATCATAATATTATCATAATAATATAATATTAAGTTTCTAAAAAAAAAAACTCTCATGACGTTATATCTATTGTTCAGGACGAGGCGCTAGTCTCTAATGACTCTTATACGCTCAAAATTTAAAACAGAAGCAATATAAAAAGATTTTTTGGAGTAAATGACACATAAACAGATCACATTAGCTCTTTTTTGTTTGTGGTATTTATCATAAGCGTAAGATATGTTAGATATGCCGTGAAAGTTTCACTGATATATTTGTAAGCTGTGTTAGTGAACCCCTGACTCTCGTATCAATAAGGGACAACTGCTGATAGCATTATCTTATTCGGTTTAAAAACGTAATAGCCTTATTAGAAAAAAAATGCTGCAAAACTCCACCCATTTAAAAAAAAAATTTTAATTTGTACATGCATACAATATTATACACTTAACACGCTTGTAATCCATCATGCAATGCATATATTTATATTTTATAAATATGTATATTATACATTATCGTAGAAGTAAAAAAAAGACTCGGGGTGCATTTTCAGGTTTTTATATTGTCATCATGAAAGCGCGCATATAATATTTCTCTAACACCGACTGTATAGTATATTATATATATATATATTTTTTTTTTGTACCAAATTTTTCTTCTTCTATGTATCTGTCATTACTCACACACGATGCGTGTATTGTAGTGTGTAGTTTTTTTATGATTATTATTATTATTATTACTATATTATATTATAGCTCAAAGCCTTTCATATATGAAATTACGATCTATTTTAAATATTACTTACATGGTTTCATATAATATTATTATTATTATATACATATACATATACTCGTCTATAATATAATATTGTATTATAGACCGCGACCTATGCATCATTAAAAACACAATGCCATAATACCTACCTATAATAATATCGTATACAGTCGGTGCGCAGTATACCCACATAGAAGCGCATGATCGTTAACTATACAGTCTGTTTTTTGCTTCAATTGAAACCCAAAGTCATTATCAAAAACAATGGCCGAGTATGAAAGAATAAAAAATGCGGGAGAACACCGAGTTTTTGTGTTGAGCTGAGTCTTGTATTGTTCCACCATACATGACGCATACTGAGTAATATAATATACTAATACAGTATGTCCTAAAACTAACGCCCAATGTGTATTACAATTTTACACTTTGCTGATTTCCCATATTTTTTTTTATCAAATACCATTTTTATTTATAACAAAGAAGACCAATTTCACTTGTTATATAAAGTGTTTTTCAATTTTTACTATGACCCCATTGACGCCGATCAAATAAAACTAAATGCAAAATATCTTATTTTCTTCTTCTTCCAATAGTATTCGCGGGGTCGACCACCTTCAGCGATGGATTTTAGACCAGGCAATGTGCGGTCTCTCATTTCATCTCTGACCATCTTAGTTCGTTTACTACTCAATTTAACAATCGATCTGGGCTATTTTTTCAACTACTCCTTCTTCATCTTATCCCATAAAAATCTGCTTAGCCGCCCAAATTCTGCCCTTCACAAATCCCTATCCGTCCCAAATTATTTGTTTACTAATTCGGTCTATCTCTACAATATGCCATTATAGTACAACTTCCAATCTTCTCTTCCATTCCTAATTCTATCAAACTTAGTCACGTATTTACACGTCCATTTTGACATTCTCATTTCAGTTGTACTTTCGTTTTCCATCATGCTTATGCACAATTGCCAACGCACTCACTTTCACACTTCATTGCTGGCCTCACTCTAAGTGACATCTTTCTGTCACACACTACACTCCTATTACCTACACTTTCCACCATTCTTTTCATACCTCTCCGTTCTCTCGCATAATCAAATATTTAAAGTTTTCCATTCTATTTTACCTATTGCTCTTCAAACGCACTATTTCTCATATATACTCGTGTTACTGTATTTCTGTCTGACTATGGCTATTCGGAATGACTCAGTTCACACATTCAATTAAGCTGTACTCCTATATGCTCTCTTATTCTCATAAAACTCTAAACTCTTCAGTCGTTTTGCTATTGGATTTGGCTCTATGATCAGTGACTATTAACTGCAACTCTTATAAATTAACAACTTGGTCCATGGATATCTTTAAGCATCATACACCATCGAAATAACGTGGGTTTTTTTTCTTTTTGCAGTGGTTCAAGGCACAATAGTGGGCGTCTCATACGACGGGGACGTGTCGAGGGTAAGGGTACAGCCGACCAAAGCACACCGTCTGCCACCCGAAGAAGACGATAAGGTGGCAGAGGACATGGGCGACGATAGCTCTGACCCAGAACAGAAGAAGCCACTGACCATCACCTTCGGACGGGGTTGTAGGCCTGCGGTCGGACCGGGTCAATTTGTGTTCATGGCCCGAGCCAAGTTCGACGAGCTGGCCCTGAGGTGTGCACCTCGACTGGAAGAGTGGAGGCAAGCTGCCAAAGCTGATAAATCGCCTAGTTGCATTCTGACCGACTAGTTAACGTTATGACATATATATATATATACATGTATATGTATTTTTATAAATATAATATATGGTGTTGGTCACGAAGTTTTGTCAGATTTACATACGTTTTGTGTGTAAAACAATTATACAATTTTCGTTAGCCACACTGTATATACAGTGTTACCAAAACAGTTGTGTTTGTGTACAAACGTGTTATGTAAAGTTTTTTTTTAGGTTAAGCTCGATACGTCATACGTTTTTTTAATTTACATTATAATAGTCATCAAAGTTTTTTTTTTTTTGGTTAGATTTGTTTGTATAATTACTATTATTAATAAAATTTCGAGAGGATAACTGCGGTACATACTATATTGCCATTTGTACAACAGCTTAATATACTATGTAAGCGAAGAAAAATCAGTTTTTTTTTTATACGAACAACTGGACGGTTTTAGTGTAAAGGAGAAGCATACATGTCGAATTTGACTTGTTTTTAGGTGACTCAAAAACATTTTCTAATTAAATCACAAATTGAATGACTTGTGCTATTTTCACCAAACAAGTATTGACTCGTACTCTTTTTCATTAAACTTGTTCCAACTATTTTGTTTATGATTTGATTAATGTTTCTGTAGTTTGGGTGTGTGTACCACCCGGGCCAACAACATGTTAGTAGTCCCGCGATGAGTATCGCTCCTGCAGAGACTTTAACGACCGCCGCTGTTGCTACCGACTATAGATTAGACATCTTTGGGTATTTTTTTGTTAATACAGTAAAAAATGGTTCGACCGGTTTAAAATATTTTTGACGTTATTTTTTTTTTATCGACCACACCGCAATTGTTGATCACATCGGTCGGGCCGAATCGTCGTCAATTTGCAACAGAAATAATTGCAACCCAACCTGTAAATATTATTACTATATTATTGTAGTAACAGCGTCGGGCGGTTTACCGAAAATCTCCCTAAAGGTATTTTTTTCTCTCCTCATCTCATTTAAAAACAACAACTGTACGACGTGTGTAATATATTGTATCTTTACAATATGTGAATCCATGTGCCAAACGAATAAAAAAAAAAAAAAATGTAAAAAAAAGTAACTACAAAATAAGTAGGTACAATATTTTTAGAAAGAATAAAACATAACGATTACTAATTACGTTTTCGGTTGATGTAAACGCAAAAGAAATTCGTGCAATGTCAAAGAACGTAACAAACTTACAATTATTATTTCTTATTATTAAAACTATTATTATTATTTTTATTTGTTTTGTTATTTTTTTTCTGTGTATATGTAAAATTTTATAAGTTCGAAAAATATTCGTTTTTGTATAATGATCTCAACTTATTATTATTATTATTATTATTTAAACCATAAAATATATATTATTGTAATTAAAAAATGTCTACTAATTATATTATTGTAGTGATGAAAATATACATACGTGTTGTTCAATGAAACTCATCCGCTGACTTATTATATTATTAATTATTAATCGTTCCTATCATTTTTTTTTCTATGCAGTTTGTGCAATGGCATCTAATAATATAATCTACCTCGGAACGAGCTTTGGTGGGTTTGGGCCAGAACTAGCGGTTTGTTGTGCACAATAACCGCATTGCCCTAATAAAAACATTTGGTTTTAGACATTGGTAGACTTTTCGAGATTGTACTGTACTGCTGTCTTATATATCTGGTAATTGGGTGGTATTTTCGAAGCCGCCTCTGTCGGATGGAGACGGTCACTGCGCCAGATAGCTGCTTTTTTTTATAATATAATATTGAATTCGCCGATGACGGCAGAACAACAACGGTCCCAAACGGCAAGTATGAGTAAAAAAAAAAAGTCCAAAGACAACCCGGTCGTAAATCAGACATACACTCTGGTCTCTGTGCGGCGTAGCTGGTGTGCCTGTGTATAATAATAGTAATGTTATATGCTGTGTGTGTATATATGTATATATATACAGGGTTCAGCGAGGTATGCCGGTCTCATTAAAGTCCGATTTTATTTAGAACACGCGCCGATCTCGCGCCAGCCAGGACGTCCTCTAATTAGCAGACCCGCGTCCTGCGCTGGGGCAGTTTCCACGTGCATTCCTGTCGACCGACGAGACTCGTTTGACCACAGTCGCCGCCACCGCCAACCGAAAAGGAGCATCGGTGTGTCATCGGGTATGTCCTTGCCCGGAGTCTTTTTCTGACCAGCATGCGTGTTTGCTTTGGTTTTTTTCCATTATTATTATTATTATTATTATTATTACTGCCATCGCACCGTCGCGTCGTCTCGAACGGTGTCGTATTTAGCGTTTTTCCTTGGATAGCAGAGCGCGGTTAACTTCCACTACACACTTATGACATCACTAACACATTCACATTAGAATCATCTTTTTAAATTTCTAATCGTGTGACCAACTGGACTGCAAATACTTACCATATCCCATAAAACTGCATAAAGGATAAAAAATAATTAAATATTACACTATTCTGTTGAATGTAAAATCAGAACATGCATGTTTTTCAACAATCAATGGTAAGTTAGGTAACAAAGACGCCACAACCTAAGACGCTATTTATCAAGTTATTTAATGTAAGCAATTTTACGCAGAATCTTAGTTTTCAGCTAAAACGTAGTTGTTCATTGATTGGTAATGAAGTTTCTTCAGTGGTAATTAATGTTTTACCAAACCGAACGCTTGATTGGAAGGTAAATCTTTATGTCAAAGGCAAAGCCATCCAAAAGAAACAACGACGTACACAGCAAGAAATTTGCTCCAAAACTAGGGTTTCAAAAATAAAATAAAATAAAATATAGAGGTATATGTACTTTTATGCCAGAAAATACAGTTAAGTGGAAGAGAGGACCATTTGTTTTGCCAGTCATTCTAAAGTAAGCACTTTGCGGTAATGTGAAAGAAGGTCTGATTGAGAGTTGAGTAAAATAAGGCGGGGCTACAAAAAAAATAAAGTAGGTATAAGAAACCGTTTTCTTTGCAGTTTTGGAGTATATACTGTTAGCAATTTGTAAACATAAATTACATTTTCTTAAAATGTATTTAAAACTAATACACACAGCGTAGAAGGATTGCTTGAAATTCAACTACACCTGAGTTTTTAAATAATATTAAAAACTGATAACTTTTATTACACTTTATAAAATATTATATATAGACATTTTGGGATGTTACATTTGACCTCCTTCCTCTACAAAAATAAATTATCAAAACATTTTTTTTCTACTCAAACTCTTGTTTTTTTTTCTTTAGCTCTCCAGATCATCAAAAATAAAAAATATGTCCGTCATAAAAAAAAGACAGTATTATCTTGTACCAAGAACAAGAATATTATATACTATAGAAGTGACTGTCATAAAACCAAAAAGTACTGAAAGAGGTACATTTTTTGATACTTTATTTGCACGTAAACCCCAATTTTTTTAAAACCCAATAAGTAAAAATCCTGTCTTAATCGCCACATTGGTTATTTTAAAGACCGTGTATTTAATCTTTTTTGTACACATAAAGAACCCACCGCTCAAATTTCTAATGCGACAAGCCGTTTTATGGGATTTATTTAGTTTTGGGAATTGCATAACATCGGTATCGTTTCAGCCAAATTGTTCATTATAAGTGGTTTTTTTGGTAATAATTTTGAAGCATAGGCTAGAACAAGATTACTGAACACTTCTTATAAACGCAAGTGTTAAAAAAAAAGTTTCAAAACGCGTTTTAAAAAAAAATATCATAAATATATTTATTTAAAGTACTAAATAATATTTTTTTTTTGTAATAAATTATTTGAAACAGTAAACAAAATACCTGCATGTACCTCGAATAAACCATAATTTTGAAAATTATAATTTTTTATTTAAATAAAAACTGCCCACTGCCCCGAATCTATGTGCACAATATACTATCATTGTCAAATTTGTACATAAATATTTTTTTTTAAGTAATAATACCGTGTAAAATAGTTACTCAGATTGTATCTACTATTGTTTTTGTAGTATTGTGTGTTTTTTTTTTTAATTTATTGATCTCATGTTGACCGTGACATTTCTGTTGGGGTTAGTCATTAGTGTGTATAATTTGTACAAGAGGATGCAAATTCGTGTAATGGTCGCATTGTCTATATGCGCTATTAATTGTTTGTCATTAAGTCCGGACGGTGCTCGGGCAACATAATATTATTATTACTGCAATGCATTATGGTAATAAGCGATGGCGTCGACTGTACGCGACGACCACTGTGTGCGTACCAACACGGGCTACTTAATACTTACACCAAATAAGAGATTATTATAATGTATTATTCTTATTTCGGGGATCACACAAATGGATTTCCAAAAGAATAGGTAGAAAGAAAAAATAACACTTCGGGTGGTGGACAAGAGAGAGAGTGAGAGAGAGAAGACAATGACGGACGGACACTAAAAATAATGTACCCGGCATCGTGTGATGACTGTATATAGGTGTGGTCAGGTACTATGAAATTATTAACTACTTAGGCAACGGACACTACCGCTATAACTATACAAGCGGGTCGCTGCTAATGGAAGGTGTGTTCGACAAGGACCCGAGATCGAACGTTCAACAAGCGTCGTCTGTGTGCAGTTGTGCTCACATAAATCCGGCACGGTCGTATGTCCTACGCTTTATATATATATATATATACATATAATATTATGTATATTGTATATGCATAATAATATTTTCGTAAAACACACACACAGTATCGGCAAGCCTGTATGTGAGCGTGGGCAGTAATTTTTGTGACATCCGTGTGTGAATAATCCGAAGACGACACGGGTATAGGTATAGGTGCCGGCATATAATAAACATACAACATACAATTTCCGAGTTTAAAAAAATATACTAAATTATATGTTTTAAATCAAATATTATTTGAAAACCCTCACTCTATTTAAACTGGGCTCTCTCGTGTTTATATCAATTTCTTCGATATTCACATATTACTTTCAATGGAAAAAATCAATTTCCTTCTGCTTGTGAGTAGACGAATACATTGTGTTTTAATAGGTTTAGCGCGTTCGTTTAAGGACCTCCGCGGTGACTACACTGTTTAATAAACTGAAAGAGACCAATGAGTCGACCGTTTTTATTTTTAAAACGATTGTGTAATGTATAAGTGTATAATATACAGTGTGTCCCTGAAGAGGTGTTGCACTGTTTTTATAACAATCTGCTAGTTGTTGGAACTCAACAGTTATACGTTATTATGATTTTAAATATTCTTAAGATAGTTCTTTTTTTTTTTATAGATAATTCGTTTAGTCTGTCATAGGGGAAATTAGCTAGAAAACTTCACGAATTTCGACTTGAAACCGCGGATTGAACACACCGATACAGGCTGTCTGGTACATACTGTATCTGTATAATATGTGTAACAATTGTGTTTCCGATAAAACGTGAACGCTTTGTAATGGTTGTGTATTTGAAATCCATCCGACCAATAGTAATAATTCAAAAACGTCAAACATATGGCAGCCGGAATCTACATAACAATGAAAAGGTAACAGAAATAAAACACGAAAAATAAAATATAATGGCGAGTTAGTATAATGATCTTCGGATTCAAAAGTTTAACAAGGTTTCATTTTTTTTTAAATTTAGTTAAATAGTACAATTTTTGTTTTAGACAAACGTTTTAAACGTAGGCATTTACACGATTTGTTGCAGTAATTATATTATTTAATTAATTAGGGTTTTAAACTTGGATTAGAGAAAACAATGTAAACCATAAATCATAATTGTATACTAATCTGGATACACCAGATTTGAATCAATTTTAAATCCGCATACATCAAAAAACCCTGGTTTCAGTTTTATTCCTAATCCTAGTATTTCTTGAGGTTTTCTAGAAAATAATTTGAAATATTTCAAATCTTCTAATTTTTCAATGTGCCACATTATACTTCGCTTCTACCATGGACTTTTTAGATTTTTAGTCAAATGTTTTAACTCGTTTAAGCCTATTATCACATTAACATATGACATTCGAATTTATCTATTGATCTGTATAGTCAATAGAATTATACTGCGCAGTGTTGAAGAACCTATTAATTAGGAAAATTATATTACAACACTATA